TATATTTATAATACTAGACTTTATTTATTAATTTTACTTTAACTTGCACTAACTGTTACCAAAACAAAAATAGAAAAGAGCTAAGCTAAATTAATAATTTCATAAAGAAAGTTCCTTAACTATGGAAAGAGACTAAACTAAAATTAACAAAAAAAGAAGACTAAGAAGAAGAAGTGATAACGAGCTTGAAAAAGTGAAAAAAACCCAAATAATGCTGAAGTTTTGGTTCGAACACGCGACCAATTGCAGAAGTTGACCCCACTTGAACCATCCGACCGGCACAACCTTGGTTAAATGAGTTCAACTACTTTCTTTTTATAGCAATTTCTTTATTCAAAAAATAATTTTCGCACACAAATAGTAAAAAATATTTACGAATCAGGTTCAGTTGAACTCCTTGAACCAATGTGGGACGTCCGCCCCTGGTAGCATACCATATTTCAATGGATTGACGTACTTTTTCTACTGCATATACATTCCCATAATGATGGTGTTTTTCCAAAATCAAACTTTGTTGTTCAACATCATGAACTAGTCATCCCTTAGAAGGTATTGTTACTAGAATTAATGAACGTAAATATATCACATTTGCTCGATATTGGTATCCTGCTCCTGTAATCTCCCCACTTTAATTCCTTTCTTTAAACAATCCAAGGGGTTCGTTTAGGGGGTGATTTACTCCTATTTATCAACAACAATTAGTACAAATTTGAGTAGTCTCAACGATATCTATATTAGGAGGAGTCATTAAGAATTGACTAGCTTTATGGCAGTTAGTCTATCATAATCCTCCTCCTTTATTTTGACTTGGGACATGTAATGTACGCAAGCTCATAGGGCTATGCATATTCTTTTTTCACATGGATCGATTATTATATTAGAAAATCTATATATTCAAACTTCACTTTGGAGGAATGTAAACTAATGAAAATATACTGCTTTTCAATATAATATGTAGAGGCAGAGTTAAAGCTGATTAATTACTTTTATACTGGTCATGGTCTTATTTGGAATTTCTAGCATAGTACATTCCAAAAATGTTGAACAAGAACGGTTTACTTCTTGAAAGCATCCTTATAACAACAATCACATACGCTGTAAGAAAGTTAATAAATGAATGCAGTGTAAGAAAGATTCCAAGTATTTGATTGAAACGAAGATAATTTGCATTGATTTGTTGCTATGGTAATTGGTTGATTTTCATGTATTTACAAGAGTTCTATTTATATACGTGTCGCTCATTAATAGTCATAAACCATTGTCCATTGCATCAGAATTTATGATTTCTAAATTTATTCAGGCTATTTTTCCGTTTTTATAGTACCGCATCATTATTACTGGTTTTTATTATTGTTTTTTCACCTATTTTCTAGTCCTAACGATGCTAGTATTATCTGTCTGGCTCCTGTTGCTGTTACTGATCTATTTGTCTCTTTTCGTATTCTTGAGCTGAGAGTCTATAGATAGTCTCTCTACTCCTCCGGGGTAGGGGTAAAATTTGCGTACACACTACCTTCCGAGACCCCGGTGGGATATGTTTCATGGGTTGTTGTCGTTGTAAATTTATTCAGGCTGATATTGAAGTAGTGCACTGCCTGTCCTGGTGTCTCTGTTACAGGATTTAGTAGTGTGTTATTTTGTATTATCTCTTTCAGTTTCTGAGTGTAACTTCAAAAGTGCATTATTGGTATGGCCACTGTTCTACTGAAAATGAACTTGTCAAAGTATAGTTTTTTGCGGAGTTTAATTATCAGTCACATATACAGGATATTCGAGAACTGCACATAAATCAATACTAGATAACTGCATGGCATTAATACAAAGGTTACTCAGCAATGAATGTATAATACTCGGAGAGTATAAATGATACCATACAATATCGTTAAGAATCACTCAAAAGATTAAAACAACAAAAGGAAAAAGGAAAAAGAACATCAAATGGTAGACACCATATAGGATAAAACAGGTAAAATATTAGAATCCGCAAGATGATCAGTTGGATGGAGGAGTTGCAAGTGTAGGAATGGTAGGAAGTGAGGGCATTTTGGGAAGAGGAATATTAGCGGGCATTGGTGGCAGAGTCATCTTTGGGACGATAGAGGGCAAAGTAGGCAAAGATGGTAAATTAGGTGTAGTAGTTGGAAGAGTTGGCAAAGATCCGACACTTGGCAATGGTGGCAATGTAGCTGCTGTTGGCAAGTTTGGAATTGTGGGCAATTTTGGCATTGTTGGCTGAGGCAATGGTTGGATTGTGGGCAAGTTTGGAAGTTGCAGTAGGGTGCGAGCAGCACGGGTTGTGGTGATGCTTGATAAGGACAATAATGCGATGATCAAGAAGAGGATTGAGCAATTGTTGGAAGCAGCCATTGTTATATAATTTGCGAGGTTGCTTTGTTTTACAAGGAGATAATTAAGTTGTGTTTTGAGTTGAGTTGAGTTGAGTTTGATCATAACTAAAGGGTATGTATATATAATAGGGGAAGTTTTTGAGGGACTACAAGGATTGGATAAGATGTTGGGTGTAGAAGCATGGGTACTACACTCCATATATTGTTAGCTCACCTTCACAAATGTTTGGTTTGAGGGCAGATGCACTAATTTTAATTAAGTCAA